ATGTGCTGGAGTTAAAAGGCGTGATGGAACAAAAAAAGTTTTCAGTGAAAGCTGTTATTATGAATGATGAGTTTCGTGGATCTACTGTTCATTTTCCAGTAGGCTGTTTCAAATAATCAAAGACGTTAAGTCAAGGGATGTTGCATCTGTGGAATTTTATCATTGATGCGGAGACCATCAAATTTTGTTTTCCTTTTTTTTTATAGAGACAATGTTCCCTTTGCTTCTGATGGAAATATTTAAAAAAGTAACAGATGGGTTGCCATGACATTCACGCATAACTTTGGTGATACTCGAATCGCTCTGACTGCTGTTTCCCTTACTTTTCCTCTGGCGCCACCAAAAGACGGACATTTACGGTTCCGAGCAAAACGTCCCTTGGCACCCCAGGTTCTAGCTCCCTCTAGGATAAACTTCGACCCCATTGGCGGTCGTGACCTTTCGTCTAGAGCCATCATCCAGTCCAAATTGTCGAGCCATCCCATCTGGAATCAGCCCAGATGTTCTCTGTGTCTATTGAGCAGGTGTTGATGGCTAAGGTGGAAACCATCGTAGCCGTTGGCATCGTCGCGGTGAGCATGCTAGCACGCTGACATTAGTATTTAGCTGACAGCAGCCTCTCAGTGGCGCTAGCATGGCTGTTGAGTCTCAGTCTTGTTGTTTGACAGTTGGTGGTAATCTCTGCTCGTGTTTAGTACACAGTTCTTCTTCCGTCCATAACACACAAACCAAAAGATTTAAAACACATTTTCTGTCAGTCGGAATGACAAAGCGAAACTGAGCGCCAAAGGTTTCAGTAGAAAAAAAGGAAACCCATATTAATGAGGTTCTCATTGGGACGGGGGGGGGCTGAACCCTCTGTTCCCCTTTTTGAACAGTGTTAATATATTTATTAATCGGACCCGTCCGAGGTCCAACAATCAAATCATCATTCCTTTTTTCCCCATGAAAGCGTTTTGCATTTTTTGGGGAGTTTTTTCTGTGCTGATGTGAGGGTTTCAGGACAGAGGATGTCGCATGTGTTTTGGGCTATACAAAATAAAATGAATTGAAAATGAATTCAATTCAATCAACAATCACAGCCTCCTGGGTGGTTCTCCTTATTTTTGGTATTAAAACGTTACAGGCTGTTCACAAAATCAAGTTAAACACAAAATCATCTTTAGAATTCTTCAAAACGGATCAGTAAACCTTGATCTATATAAATTTGGTGCAGTTTAGAACCACAGCGCTCGGTAAGAATACACGCCTGACAGCGACAGTTAAATTATGAATACCAAAATAAAATAAATACATTGTATCAAATATGAATGATATCAACAAAAATGTTACCTTACATATCGTGCGCGTCACACATGGGTTGGCACAACATTTGGGAACAAATATTCAGGGTTTCCAGAGGATGTATCTTAAGCTTAAAATCCTGACACAATAATGCTCTCCTCTAAAATAAGTTATTTCTGGTCCATCGAGCAAGAAAAGTGTCCAATACTTTTCTGACCAAACATTAAAAGTAAAAAATAAAATAACCCAGCCCCCCCACCTGTGTATACTTAACTTATTGGGTGGATTTCAGTCCAAATAGTTCCTTTTGGATAGAAATCCCATGATGGTTCAAAGGTGTAATGGAGATTCATGTCAGTGGAATGAGTACACTTCAGTGTGCAGTTAACATTCTCATTCTGGTAAAAGGGAGTTTAACTGGGTTTACACTTCTCTACATCCTGGTCATAACTTTGCTAAGGAACACATGCTTGCGGTTTATTAGGGGAACAATATATGAAATTCACTTGGCTTTGGAAGCTGGATAAACTTTATTGAGCAACAACTGGACTTTAAACAGGCTGTCAGGATAGATTTGGCTGATTCTGAGCCACGGAGCACTTTTGCTAAAAAAAAAAAACCTACACAGTTTGCTTGCAGTTTTATCTTTTAAACCTTTATAGCTAAAAGCAGCAAACAGATTGGGGAATTCCTGTTTTTGTGGGTGAAGATTACACGATCGCTCAAAACATTCAAAGACCAGGTCAATAATTTGACCCAGTCGCTTAAATTACAGCAATTCTGGATATTCCTTTGCAACTATTTTTGGTGGCCGCTGAGAAATTCTCATTTTCTCACCAAATGTCCTTACAGCATGTGAATGATCAGTAGTGGTGGCCAGTGAAGTGCTCCCAAAACAGAACAGCTACATTGAGATCATTTATCTTTGTGTGCAAATATTTCTTTACCTTCCTCGGAGTGAGACTCATGCAATGCAGGAGTCATTTCAGGAATCCAATCCACGACTGCAGGAATATAATTACTGGAACAGCAACAATGACATCACCCTCTTAAAACTAACGGCTATTATTCAAAAACATATGTGCGCCATCCACATGTGTAGTCCATCCCCACACCCACACCCACCCCCTGCCCACTTGTCGACTGAAAATTGAAAAAAACAAAACAATTGTTCCTCTGTTTCCCTTTCAGGTAATCCCCTTCTCCCCCCTGAATGGTTGAAATAGTCCTAATGGCACGCTGCGAGCTGTACCAGCGAGAGGCCGACCGCCCGAGGTTCTGGGCGGTTAACTGCCAGAACATTAATATGACGAGTCTACCCGTTGGACCGAGATCCCGGAATGCCGGAGGAGCCCTTTACACAGTGTGCCGCGTCCTGCAGAAACATTGAGGGGTCTGCGCTGTAGCTCAGGGTCAGTCAGGAGCCAAAAGCTTTCCTGTATTTTGAACCCTTCGTAAATGTATGCCGTCAAACGCTGGAGAAGGTCTGGTCATGCTACTGTTGTATTTTAGAAATTTTTAAATCCAGTCCAAACTGTATTAAAGAGTAAGTGCATTACATTACATTTTAAATGTGATTTGTATATTTGTGCTGGCTTTATGATTACACATATCACTGCTGACACATAATCGTCCTAAATGACCCATTTAAGTTGCTGGCCAGTGGACGTGCACCATAAAACAGAGAATACAGCAATACCGTTGAATATAAAGGACACTTTTATAGCAGTCGGGAAAATGGCAGCAGCTTTGAAGGCATATACATAATAACAGAGAAGTGCCTGGCTTTTTAAAACTTTAAGACTCAGCTACGGTTCAGAGGTCCATAAAAGCAAAGCTGTAGACCGTGTGAGGAGAATTTAAAAAAAGATGAAATAAAGTTACGATGGCTTATTTACTGCCAATTATTGCACTATAAGCCTTCCTAACACTTTGTTTCCTCCTTTTAATGTGAGGTTATGGAGTTCCACCTTAAATAGACAGTGGTGTCTAAAAGTTCTCCAGATGTGCCTTTGAAACGCAGAGGGGAGAAAGAGCGGTAAGTAGAGCCTTCTCCAGAATGGAGTTATTATTCACAGACTGCATCGGTCAGACAAGAAGCAGTTTACTCAAGGTGGTAAAGTTAGAAGAAAGTTCCTCTGAAACTTTACAGCAAAAAAAAAACAAAATTGAATCGGAACACTTGTAAGTTTGAGAATCGAGTTTGAGTTCATACTGACAATCTAATATTTCAAAGAGATTAACAAATATTGTTCTATTTGAAAAAAAAGGCTCAGCAATTTCTATTTTTTAACTTTAAGACACTCTACCGGTGATAATGACAACATCATTTTGGTCCTGCGGTCAATAGTGCGACAGGATAAATTAATATTGTGTATCAGTCAGCAGTCTTGTCTGAAACTGAATTTATGACTATAAATATGAATATTCTTCCGCATGCATCTTTTGTCTTTTTTTCTTTATTCAGTTAGAACTTTCGGTCGTCAACTTAGCAGCACGTCAACACACAAACCGAAATCAAGTGTGTACTATTGGAGGGGTAATTGAAAACTTTCCCAGCCTCTGATTTGTAAACAATCAAAATAGTACTTTATCAGCTTTGTCAATACGAGGCTTTTGTTGATACGTTGAATCCAACAGTACGTTCTGTGCAGATCATCTCTTAATAGGACAAAGCTGGATCTTGGCCCCTAGTTTTCTGGGCCTTGTTTGAAGGCAGCTGAAGTAATGATTAGAAAGCTCGATCCACATCTGAGATGTATTTTCCAATACCAAAGCCATTACTGGAAGCAGATGTGACAATACGTTGGTCCGTTTGATACTTCCTGGTATTAACAAGGCTTTTTATTGACAGAAGGGTTTCATGTTTTGTTGTTTACGCTTGTTGCACTGAAATGATGGATTTCAGCTCGTAAAAGGTTTTTATATTAAAACCGTCACCATCGGGTTACTCAAATCAATGTTTCATGTTCAGGGAAAAATACAAGCTGCCTGTCATTTGCGTGTTACTGTCCATGAATGGAATGGGGAAAGCGGGGCCTGTTCAACACGAAAAGCATATCCATCAGCGCAGACTTTGTGAAAACAAATCTTGTTATTTGGACAGCGCTACCATTTGGTTAAGAAAGCATTGGAGTTCACTACTGGCTTTTAATGATGTACCGTATATCACGGGATTCGCATTTACACACCACATACCGAGGCACCAACAGCTTGTGAAACCAACATGAACTCATCAGCGAGCATGTAAAAACATGCGAAAAGAGAGATACTTTGGTGCGGAGATCCGGCAACGCCACATTTTATCTGTGCAAAAAGCGTTAAAGTGTTTCTTTGGCTGAGCTGTTTGACATTGTTGCTGTCTGTTATGTCTAATGATGTTTTAGCAACATTGCACGTGCAAGACTGAACTTTTTACGGTAATAAAAGAGGTCTAGGCGAGAGTTATAAGATGCCAAGTGTCGAAATACCTAACACAGTTTGAAATGGCTCTTACGCACGCAAAAAGGAAGTAAATAAACGTTAACATTCATGCTGTAATTTTTTTTCCTCTGTAGGTGACCATGCTTTTTCCGCTGCACTAATTGATTTTACACCCCTGTCCAGGATTAAAACAACAGTTAATAAAAACAAGAGTTAAAACTAGAAAAAATAATTCAGACCTTCTGTCCTCTAGTTGGTGAAATATTGAAGATTAAATAACATAACAGACACCATTCACTTTTCCATATTTATGTAAAATTTGTATGTACATGTAATAAGCAGAAGATGACAGCTGACATTCAAAATCAAATAGTGCTAAAAAAAGACCAGCAACAATTGGACAAAACAACTTGGAGAACAAAAGAGTTGACAATACTTAATGCATTTCTTAAGCATGTGTGACATCGAAACATTGGTCATTTCCAGGCAATACTGATTACTGCAGTTAGACTGGATCTAAGGAGACAGAAGCGATGAAAAAAAGGAAATATTAGCCAAATGTTGTGCGGCCGAAAGTCTTCACTGACAGGAAATTAAGAAATCTGTCTTACAGGCCAACACGTTAATTCATGACACAAGTAATGAAAAGAATGAATGAAATTAAAAGGAAATATAACATTGGTAGTGCAGTCTTTAGTTTGAAAAAACAATCAGAAGGTGGCACCCTCATCAAGCAGTGAATTAGTTTTTTCCAAATGTACCCCATGCAGAGCTGCTCTGTAGCCCACAGTGTGTACCTGTGCAGGCCAACTAATGACTGGTTTTATGATTTATTATCACATTATCATATTGAGAGTGATGTAAAACAAAAGGCTGAATATTATTGTTGCGTTAATGTGAGGCATAGTAACACTTTCACCGTGTCTACTCCATATGCAGCTAATGCTAGCAGATGGTTAGCTTATGTTAGTGTTAAAACTAAAGCAGGAAGAAACAGCTGAACTTGCTCTGTAAAAACAAGCTCACTAACTAAACAACTTGAATTGGTTAAATCTGAACACATTGCTTTACATTTTGTTGGATAAAGACAGGTTAACAGTTTAACCGTGCTTCTTGTCCTCATGCTAGGCTACGCTAACATCCTGCTTCGGCCTGCCCGATTCTACCTTCATATCTGTGGTACAACCTTGAGTGTGGTATGAATCCTCTCTTTCTCAGCAATAAAACAAAGGTGAATTTTCAAAATTGTCCAATCATCCCTTTAAGCAAAATCCACCAAACTGTGTAGCAAATTATCTACATTTAGTGAAAATGGTTTGTATCGTCATGGCACACCCCAATAAACTAATCACAGACATTTCAAACATCTGTAAATATACAAAGATAGATAGATATACAAACAAGAAAATAGAAAGCAAAGTTTGGGATTTTGAATGCTTGTGCAAGTTCATATGTAGGATGAGATGTGACCAAAAGTGGGGGAAGAGGGTTGCATTTTATTTGAAAACATTCTCAAAGGCGGGGCATTTGTAGGTCTTGAGTTTCTTGATGGCCTTTTTGAACTCCTTGCTGGACTTGTCCCACTTGTGGATGCCCGTGAGGAGGTACTGCTTATCCACTTTGCGGCCCATGATTAGATACTGGTTCCCCAGGTTGTCCAGCTGCTGGCAGGGGCAGTCGGCGCCATTCTTCAGGTACAGCACCAGCGACTTCATGTCCCTCTTCTTCAGGTTGCCCTCTTTCAACATCTTTTTCCGCTTCTGCAGAATCACCTTGCGGTCCATGTTTTCTCGCACCACCTCCTTGATCTTGGTTTTGAAAGCTGCGTTGGCGAAAAGGAAGAACAAACACACAGTTACAAGGTGAATGAGTTCTTGCACAGAATGTGTGGTCCAATCACACCGTTGCCTCTAAAGACGGTTAGGCAATGTTTTATGAGCTCTAGCAAAATTAAACACAATAAAGGGTGTCAACACCTTATTTTTGGGGACAAGTATTCTAATGGCATTCTGTAAAGGTATACTGGTCTAGTAGAACAACCTAATTTACACACAGCCTATTCCTTCTCATTGAGCGCCATTTAACTTCACGGATGGTTGCTCAACAGCTGATGCCACCAAGCACATCTCCTTGAGTGCCTTGCTCAAGAGAACCATTCACTGAATCAAAACAACTGTAGGTATGGCTGACTTTTTATACTACGATTACTATACTACTGTAATAATAATTAAGAAACATTTTGTGAAATAATTGAACTTAAACAGACAGTCATGGAAACATGATGAATATATGGATATTAACATCATGTATTAGCAAGATTTGAGTTGATTACCTACCCTTGTGCTTTACGCCACGTTTTGGGGAAATATAGCATAAGTGCTATTAAGTTATCAGTCGAGCATTATTCAAGCTAGATTGGCTTATTCACTGTCAAAAGGATTCAGCCAGTTGGTTCCCTGCTTGCATAAACATATTTAACTTTTACTGTCACAAATTCTCCTCACTGGTTTGGATGCAAACATTCACAGGCAAGTATTTTGCATTTACATGTTTATCAGGCCCCAGTTTTAAGGGCCTTAAGTGCATATTTATTTAATAAAAATTATATATAGTGGAGAATTATTACAATCTAGTCCAGATTTTGGCTTTTACCTCCCACTGACTCTGAGAATCGTTTCACAATTGACGATAATGCTCCTGATTGTTCGCTGAACTCTATGTAATCTTCTAATCTCTCATTCCTCCGGTTCCCCTTCTGAAACAGAGCACGAGTCCAACTTTGGTGGTCCAAATGTCCATATGCCTCCCCTCCACGCGGTATGTCCTCCAGTTTTCCACTGACACATAGGGATGCGTGTACGATCTTGTGACACGACAACGCAAAAGCAAGCGTGCCGTGTCTGGTGACGGCGCCGGTGTCAGTGTCGATCGCCGGTTACACCGGAGACAAAGTCTTGTGACGTCTACATTGCAGGGAACAGCCATAAATCATTTTCAAACTCGACCAGACATCTGGATGCGACTTCGACTTCGACTGTCAAATTTCAGCACTAAATGCGTCTTGACTCACTTTTCACCGACTTGTGCCTGACATAAAAAACCTGAATTGGCACTTGAAGAGGCTTCCAGCGTCTCACTTATTCCTCGGTTGGCACAAGTATCTCACATTGCTAATTAAAGTGTGAGCGGACCGTTTTTTTCCCAGTATTAAGAGTGCACATGCTAGGGATTAAGACTTTTATCCCTTGTCTCTAGTTTCCCAAATGCCCTGTGTGAGAAGGCTTAGTGTTCAGTGAAATAAAAATGGGCAGCAGTCATGATTAGCGAGTCAAAAAAGACAAACCCTGGCCCACCCCTGAAAGTACTTTGTCTTGATAAATCCTCCATCCTCAATAATCTTTTGATGCTATGAACTTTCTTTGCACCTTGTGTTGGTCGAGAGCTTAATCGCTTCGGCAACTGCATCCAGTAAGAAGGTTGAACAGTTCTAACAATGCTGCCCTTTGCTAACAGCTGGAGAAATCTTCCCACAATTATTTTCAATGTATGCAATGAAAATCCACCGTGTAGTTCAGGAAACACCAACATGGAACCTTCTAAGAGCTCATTTGACAAACTGGAAGTATCGAGAGCTGTTCATAGAATCCCATTTTAGAGGCTAATAGCGAACTGTCTCACTTGTATGCTTTGTGTTTCATCGTCAGTTTGGTAAACAATGACCGTTATCTGTCAAGCTGCAAAAAAGAATGCGCCGTAGATCGTAGATATCCCACGAGGACGCATTAAGACTGTTGAATCACACGCAAGGGGGCGAGGGAAGATGGATCTGACCACCAAAACGGGATCGGGAAACGACGAATCAACGGTGATGTTCATGCCGCGCGTCTTTCGTACTTCAGTACCAGAACGCCCATGTTTATTCAACCCAAACAACAATATTTCCAAAACCTGATTGTAGATCATTCTGGTGAATGATTATGTGCGCGCTCTGCATGCACGCTACGAGACACCGTACTCGAGGAAGTGCACACGCGTAGTGGGGTTCGGGGTTTCATCTCCCGCCAAGTGGGATTGTGTAGCCTGCAAAACACGACTGTACGCAAGTTGAAGAGTTCTAGAGGTTTGTGAAATAAACACCCGACCTGGGTTTAAAGTAAGGACTCATTTCGACTCTTATTTTAAAAAGACGACAAAGTTGCAATGGCTAGTTTTCCTGAGCATACGATTTAGAGATTGCTGTACGTTTCTTTTAAAAACCTCAAGTTGTGCAATGTCACAATGCTTGTTTGGCTCGGGGGATTTCCCTGACCCCCCCGACCTGGTTTCCTCTGCCGGCTCAGAGGCACAGACGAGACCTCCAGCTCCCAGGGAGTCATAAACCCAGCAGGAGGGTGAGTACCGCTCCCCCATTTCACAATAATGGAAGCACAAGTGATCTGATAATCCGAAGTGATCAGTGCTGGGCTGCCCTGTTGTTTGCAGCATTAGCAAAGGAAAGGAGCCATTTGGCATCGACAACAAAGTGGGCTGTCCGAGGCAGAGGAGAGATTTAATTGAAGGGCACTGGATTTTTTTGGGACAATGAGGCACCATAAAACCTTAAGCAGAAGGATAAATTGCAGTGGGAACAAAGTGTTGAGTAGGATGAGCTGTAAATCTGTTACCGGCCGGCCGCCGCTCAAGATGGCATGTGTGGGTGTCTTGTTTGTTAGAAGGAGAAAAAAAGACCAGGACTGAAAACCTGTTACTTGTTACTGCAACTGAATTTAACTTACAAGAATCTTTCCTCCTCTGCCAAAACTATTCCAAATCCAAAAACCGTGAGTCAAAAGCCTTTCTTGCTGCAGCATTCTGCACTTTTATCAGGGAAAAACAAGGAAAGGAAAAGTCAAATGCACTAGAGCAAGTGATGGGAAGCGATTATACAAGGTGTCAAATGATGGAAAGGGTATTATCAGAAAGAAAATACCTCACACTTAACTGTTACCTTAACCCAGAACAGATCTTTCGCAACTTCCAGTAAGCCCGTTTTTCAGTGTAGAAAAATGCAAATTCACTGCCAGGGTGGGGAGATTTTACACATGATTGGTCCGTGCAGATTAATAAAGACTTTTGGTGCAAGTCACAGATTCCTTCTTCGAGCCTCCAAGGTTTTCCATTCCCAGTGTTTCATGGATAAGAGCAAGAAATCTGCCATCTCTATTTTGTGTTCTTGATAAAAGACAAAAGTCTGGTGCTAAACTGCTGCTACTTTTAGCGTCCGTCCACTTAAATCCAAAGTAGCAGTGTGCGATCAGAATGCTGGTCTAATCGTTTGTTGGTGGGATGAATCCCATCATGATTAAAGCTTCTTTTTTTTCCCATCTACATGTTTTCTTTTTCCTCAAGACAAAACATTTGCTCATGTTTGGCTTCAGCCGCTGTCAGATGTATTTATATAAAACTGAATTCCTTTGGCCGCTTGGGAAAAGCAACAAACAGATCCTTTAGCCTAGCTGGTGATATAAGCAGTGATGCTATCTCTGTGCATTAAACGCCTCACCCGCTGCAATCAGCTCCAAAACCCCGCTGAAATCACAGCGGCGTCTGTTGCATTCCAGCCCCCCCCCCGAGACTCGAACCTGCAACGTGAGCCTCACACCGCCTCATCCTCAGCGTGGCGCTAAATCCGTCTGTGTAACTACACATGTCAGCTGGTTAGGGGGCTTATGACAAGCAGGCAAAACAACATCTGTCTTCATCCGAGATGAAACGAGCCCATTATGTGCCACTCTGTGTCTCGGCAAACCGGGACCCAGGGCTGAAAAAAAAGGGGGGGCGAGCCCGATCGCCGCAGCATAAACAGAAAGGCAATTCATTAAACAAATGCAACCTCCAACTTTTTTCTGAAAACATCGAGAAAAGTCAGTTTCCAAAGCTCATCCAGCCTTATAATTGCCGGCAACGGCACCTGGAATTCAAGCTGCTAGGGAATGAAATAAAAAATGAAAGCCTAACATCTTGCATCGTGTATGCATCATGCACATATCATTCCTGGAAGCGCAACTCAGTTGTTGTCTGTGTTTTTAATTAAAGTCACTGCCTTGCTCATGCGCTCATTTTCACAAACTACATCGAGTGCGCCCATCAGCTTAATCCTCTTTTCCCTGTTTGTCCATTTGGTTTTCTTACTGGTTACCAATCCAGTTCCCCTGCAGACATTCTATTAAGGTTATATATATATATAAGTTAGGAATTATGAATTAACCTAATAGTTTACTGTTTACACATTTTGTTCAACTTGAAAAACTACACAATCACTTAACTGACAATATCGGTGTGGAGGCCATTGGCCAATTATGTGTCATGGAAACAGACTTTATTCAAATCTGCAATATTTGATCATCTGCAACTGACGTGCACTGGGTTAGAAGGAGATTATGTCTTAAGAGTTACCATCACTGGAATACAAGACACGTCCTAACAAGTTATTTCTTAAAAGTCTGTACCCCCATAATTCTATTATGTTTTTTTTACCTGTCCTGTCTTTGATATTGAAAATGAATTATTTCTCTGATATTTATGTCACATCAGTTTTTGTCCTTTTGCGGTAGACAAGGTAACAATTGCCTGAATTATTGAAAAAGCAATATGACATGCCTGGAATTTTAAGAGCGTTTTAAGGGGAAATCGAAGTAAAAGGTGGTCAAAAATATACTTTTTCCATTCAGCATTTAATAATAAAATGATATAAAAATACATATTTGAAATAGAAAAGGTGGTCTTATTCATCATTAGTATATTTAGTTTTGAATCTCATTTGATGCCCCCATGTTCAAAGGTCATCCTGCAAAAGCCCGTCCAGACTGCAGAACAAACATCCTACTTTATTACCGCGAGGACCTGCCACATAAAACTTTAATGACCCCAATTCATTACTCACAGAACATTATCCTCAACCAAACCAGACATTTGACCAAGAGATAATACCTCGCATGCAACCTGAACAAAATCACCTCCATTAATCCAGCCAGGAACAGAAATTGCAGAAATTGGGACTTTACATGCTTTGTGAAGGACTGTTTTAAGGAGATACAACTGATGCCACTCTTGTGATTTCATGGAGCGCTGTGATCCATGTCGAGGTGTATCAGAGAGGCTGTGTGTGTGTGTGTGTGTGTGTGTGTGTGTGTGTGTGTGTGTATCTGCGTGTCGGATTGGCGCAATGTTGCGTTGGCGGTCGAGAGGACGCTTACCGAACTCGCTGGCACACATGTGCTCGAGCATGGCGTCGGTTTTCATTTCGTTGTCACATGGGGGGCAGACGAGAGAGAAACCTGTGGGAAATGATGCAAAATATCAAATGCGTGTTGCAGTGGAACCAGCAATAAATCATTACAATTATATTATTCACTTCGCCAGCTATTTGGCATTTGGTTAAAAGAAAAAAAGCCAGAATAAGGAGAGAAACAAAAGCGCTTATTTCTAATGTTTCAAACGGTTACAAGTTCAATTAAATTAGTGAAAAAGCACAGCCACACTGCCTCTTAAGTCTAAACTCACATTTCTGCGCACACACCTAACCTCCAGAGACTAGAGATCCTATCTAGTGTCTGGTCTGCTGGGCCGCGTATGCTCTGATGACCTGACCTCAGTGAGGAATGTCTTCAGCTTTTATAGCCAGCTGTAACTAAGAGCTGCAGTAAACACTCTTCTTCACTCATTTAGACAGTATTTCTAATGGAGCTTTCCATGAAGCTCAACGGCAATGTATACTCCTTAAAAGAACAACAAAAACAAAAGGATCCCAAATGTGGAGCAAGTAAACGGTTGGGATATTGAATCTGAGCTTGAAGGACGCTCCTACGTTCAAATAAATAATTTTAAAAAAGATAATAACAGCCGGCTCGAAGCCAAAAAGCTCAAATGTGTTTCCACCCAAAAAGTAATTCCGTCTTAATGCATATCTGAGAATAATTAACCGTCACAATTCTTCATTCTATTTTTCTATCTCAAGTATCTTTGTGCCAAAGAACTGAGTTCACTTTCCCAACCAACTCGATTGCAGCATCTAACTCCAGCCGAATGCTCCATTGAGCGGGGGTGGGTGGGTGGGTGTGGGAGGGGGGGCTGCCAGTTGTCCACTACATGTGTTTAACGAAAGCATGTGAAGCTAACGCCCAGGTGTGAAGAGCTTATGAAAACACAGCGTGTTTACAGAGTCACAGGGTCCCATCAGCCTGGTTCCCCTTTAAATCAATTATGCCCACGGTAAGCACTCTTCAGCTGACCTCTATTAACAATCATTAGGAGCACGACTGAGGGGGGGGGGATTACACCGCTCTGCCTTCGTCTTCATCAACCTCGATCGACATGATGTGCATTTACAACAAAAAGAGCTGAAACCAATCATGTGACCCTCCCCGGTAAACAGGGCTTGAATCTGTGGCCTTTTCGGGCAGACGACGGATGATAGCAGGTGATGTCCGGGGAGCGAGGAGCTCTGTGTGGTCCCTCTTTTCCAGAAAAGCGGCCTCTGTCCGTCCATACCACCATGTCAGCCGGTGAGAACCCACAACCCCCCCCCCCCCCCCCACACTCGTGCTCAATCCGCAAATACAGTGAGCACTGTGAGAGCGCTGGAACGGACACAGTCCCCCCATTTACCCACGGGCTTCTTCGGCCAAAAATGCCCACCAAGCGGTGTAGTTGCGGCTTAAGGGTTGAAGCGTAAGAAAGATGATGACGACGGCTCTACTTCATCGGGAAGGTGAACACGGCGCTTGTGCGTTTCCTTCACTGGTGGTGCACACTTTCGCTGAGGCGGTAACCAGAACTATTGGGAATCAGCCCGAGCTTTATCCTCCTCGCACACGATGTTCCTGTTCATATTTCGGGCTTCGTCTGGTATTTGTCAGCTTGGCCCGTTGGGTTTGTTCTGGAAGAGCATTTTTCTGGACTCCCTTGCTTACATCCCCCGCTTTCACTCACACGGCACGAGGTGTCTCACTCCTTTTCATACCAGCACACAGCGCCAACAGATTTGGGGGATTTTCAGCCAAGGAGCCATTAGTGATACCCTGCAGTGTGGATTTTAATAAGTGTAATTTGGACACTTGTGTTTTATTTTCGACTGTTCGACGTTTGACCATTAACACGTTTGTCAGTAACGCTGTGGTAGAAAATGTGAATTAATATATCTAGGTATTTGTTGCTGGACTTGCTCCCAGCATTGTCCTGCAGCTCAACAAATACCTTGTAATAAATCACTACCATCTGTTTGAGCTTTTCCAACTTATTACTTCAAGTCAACAGCAAGAAACTTCACGTGGAAGCCGGGATTTGGCTTTTTAGAGATCGAAAAAATAAATTGTACATGCACGAGAATCTCTCAGTGTTGCTTGGAGGGGGCGACATTGTTAAAACGAGATCAAATCCAGGGTGTCACAGCCTATTCCCCCCCCCCTGAAAGGGTGTATGTGGTTTGTTTGTGTTGGGATTTGCATGTGCAAACACACCTTCAGCACTGAAACAACGTTCTCAGGCCCATTTAACTGCACGGGTGTCAGCTTTTACACAGGGCCAAAGTGGAGGCTCTCTGTTTTCTCAGTGAGGTAGTAACTCTGAGTTAGGCACTCGGTTTTTGGTTGTATTAAGGAATTACAAATGGCTGCATCGGAGCCCATTGACGGCTAACCAATTGGTAATAATTATTGAAAGAAACATACAAATTGTTTCAGTTATTTCTCAAGCAAAAACAGCTGAATTCAGTTGTCTACATGAATTGTAAGTCAGACTTACTGCTCCTTTTCTCTGTTTTAGACTGTATATCTGCATCTGACTAGTTCACACCACTCAGAGAATGTCCATATATCCTTTAGACCTCGGTGAAGGAAAATGCTTCTCGAAAACCCACATTTAAACAAAGGGGAGGAAGTTTTTATGTGGCTGGACTCCCACCACTTCTCTTCCCTCTTCAGGGTGGCGGCTTACCTGTCGGCTTGGTGGCCTCGGTGGAATTGGGCTGCGTCATCGCGATGCACACGTCGTCTTGGGGAAACTTGTCGCAGGTGAGCATCTCCGGCCACGGGAAGCCGAACGCCTCCATGATGGGGATGCAGCCGTCGCGCACGGCCTCGCACAGCCAGCGGCACGGGTAGATGGGCCGCTCCAGGCACACGGGCGCGAACAGCGAGCACAGGAGGACCTGCGTGCCCGGGTGGCAGTTCTTGTGCACCAGGGGCACCCAGCTGCTGGCCTGCTGCTTCACCTCCGCCATGGTCTCGTGCTCCAGCAGGTTGGGCAGCAGCATCTGGTTGTAGCCCACGTTGTGGCAGAGCCGCAGGTCCTCCGGGATGTCCACGCACTGGGGCGGCTTGCCGTAGCCGGGCCCGCCGGTGTACATGTCCGACTTCCAGCTCAGGTACTCGTACTCTGAAGCGCTGCACGCCGACAGGAGCGCCAACGTCGCCGCCAGTCGGATCATCCTCCAGCACGAATCGGACGCGCGCCTCATCTTTCTTTTTCTTCTTCTTCTTCTTCGCAGCAGCAGCAGCGGGAATCTAATGAATGCAACTCAGCCGCGGCTCGCAGCGCACTTACTTCATGAAGTAAGTCGAAAAAAGAAAAAAGTTGCGAGGGCTGGAGGGGATGGATGGGGAGGGAGGGAGGGAGGGAGGGTCGGGGAGGGGGGGGCAAGAGGCCGAACCCTGCTGATCGATGCGCTCGAGGCGCGTGGAGTGTGTTTTTTTTTTTTTGGTTTCCCTGGTTCGCGGTGCAACGGTCTGCGGGCTCTCTCCTTCTGGCTTGCGGCCGCCGTCGCGCTCCTCCGGTGGCGTCTGGCTCCGGCGAGGGTTCGGGGAGGTAAAGCGCTCCGCCCGCGCGCAGCTCGGAGGCGAGGGCGCGTTGTGAACGCTCGCCGCCAGCCAATCGGAATGCGTCTGCGCCTTTTGGCACTCGGCTGTCAGTCAAAAACGCTTAATTACACGGCGTGTTAAAAACTCTCCAGGAGACTCCGCACCCCCTCCCTTCACTCCCCTGCTTCTGCTTCCTTTGTCAAAACCCCAACACAGAAAAGAGAGACTCTGAATGGTAAACGGAGGCGCACACATAGACGCGCATTTGGGCACCGGTTCATGGGGTAGTTCTCATGTAAATTGCCCAGAATAACTTCAGTCCCAAAGTGTGGTGCAGGGAACAATGCGAGTCTCTGGTGAGGGGGGAGGAGGTTTACTCCAGTAACTGAAGGCTAATTTGTTTAATGATGATGATTAGATTAATATTCTGACAAGATGATTGAACGCCGCTGTTGATGCCACCTCTGCTGTATTACCTGCCACTTGTTTAACAAAACGTATTTTAGCTTCTAAAACGTCTTAATTCTAAAACCTCTGCAGTGCATTTTGTACACCTTAGTTATTAAAATGTACCTACTTTTAATGGTAATACATTGGGGTCACAAACTGGTTCAAGGGCCTCACTTCACTCTTCTGCTTCCCAAAATGGCTGCAGGAACACAGTGGATACCGAAAAGAGAGACTGACAAAATGAAGATAAACTATTATAAAATGGACTGGTCCTGCAAGAGAATGTAATAAATCAAATTGATTTGTTTTTCTTCTCTGACAATGAACAGTCGTCGCCAGTAGATCTTGTGCACAATATCTTATCTTCTTATCGGGGATCTAATACAGCTCCGTTTGTGCTTGTTGGACATGCAAACATTGGAGGCTCGAGTCCCTTTGCTGAGCCCCAGGTGTCCATCTCCTGCCGGCTTCGCCAAAGGTGTGAACGCCCTCTATTTAAATGTGGGCCCATTTGAATTCCATTGTGTTGGTAAGAGTTCTCGCGGAGGAACAGCAGCAGGACAAACACGCAGCACTCTTGATTTGATTTTAAGTGTGGAGGCAGCAAACACAGACCGTTCAGGGCGATGGCTTCGCTTTAGGGACCCGGGGAGCGAATGTGTTCTACAGCTGTCTCCGCGTACCTCAGAGGACGCCGCTCACCTTCGTCTTCTTCCGCCTGTTGAACCGAGGCCATGTGGAAAAAAAAAACTTCTACAGCAGCCTGCTGAAAGGTGGATGCGTTACGCGGCATGGATGGATGGAGGGCCACAGATGGCACCGTAATCAAAGCTCGCTGGTTGATGAAAGGTCGACGTGAAAAAATCGAAGCGTCAGCGCGATTGCTTTTGACCATTATCGAGCGCTTGGATTGCCCAGTAAGACTATCTAGCAGCGAGCTGTGGGCCAAAGTGGTGATGTGTGCCCGAGAGGAAGGCCAGCTGATTCTCCAAAGCACTTTAAAAACACGGACGGTTGATTAAGGGGTGGCTGTGCTTTTGGCAGTGATACGCAGACAGCTTTATGGGTTGATGGCATCCAACAACAGTTTGTTCATAGATGGTTGCTACGGCGAACCTGACATTTAGGAGACAGCAGGGTTTTTTCTTTTCTTCCTCCAGATTACACCTGGCTTTGCTCACATGCATGAGGAACCCTCCCTGTCAGGAGCAATAGACCTGTTAAAAACCACCAGCGGGACAGCAGCGAGCCAAAACCTCAGCCAGACAAAGGGAACGCCGCGAGCGCTGAGGTTTGCTTTGACTTCTCCACGCGAGTGTACGACAGGGAACTGGAGAGGAAAGAAAGCGACAAAAAGCTTCTGCAAACAAAAGTAGATTATTTAGGGCCGGATGTCACTGTTATCACGACCAAATTCACTTTCCCAAACGCTGAGCTTTGACAGCGCGTGACTAACAATAGAACGGCTAAATATTTGGACTTCCAGGCCTCCGGGACTCGTCTTTAGTCTTTCGTCTTTTATCCCAAAGATGAATCCATCTCCATTCACTCGTGTTTAAAGTCGGCGCACGTGTTGCCATGAAAGGGCATTTTGGGCCCAGACAGAACGAACATGTGTGTCGTTAAGCGTCCGTCGTCAGCCGGGCCCTGGCTAAACACTGGTTCTGCTTTAGAGTCAGCCGTAGACTGACGGGGTGCGTGCGCATGACGGATGCTGGAACATAGAAATAACAAGCGCGCCTGCTTTGCGTCGCGCAACGCCAGAGAAGAACGCACTCGAGTTATATTCTTGTACTGCATGACTTTGTTTCATTTGGTTTAGTCGGAATTGCTACATTGTGGGTGATTGGCAACAGACTTGAAACGGTACAATTCTTAATAGTTAAGTGTGTCGAGACGTCGATTCAGCGAACCTTCCTTTGACTAATTTGAGCGCGTTCCTTATGAAGTCATGCAAAAGTCTCCCGTCACTCGTCCCTCAGGCTCATTGACCTTCGCACCCACTGAGCTCCCCCAACGGGGTCGCAACGGTTAAAACAGAACATACTGTTTGAACCTTCTTGCAATGACACGTCGTCACCAAACAATCGCTTGTAAACATCCAGCAGTTACACAGCAACACCATCAATCATTGGGAGGGGTGTCGCTGGACACGTGATGAATGCTGAGCTCCCTTTTTTGATCTCTCTATGCCAACCGAGGGAGATCTGAAAATGACGGTGAACTTTATCTAGTCCGCCGACAGCTAATCAATGAGCTGATCAAACTCACCATGGACCTCCGTGAAGCCAGCAGGAGCGGCCAATTTCAGTCTTTAAGTTCATCCCCCCCTGAGGCCCAGAACCATATCGTCACATTGATTTGACATTCTAATTGGATACATTATTAGAATAAAAAATGTATTATAACTGGTAAAATGAAGAAAAAAATCAAGAACCGAGAAACCTTGTTTCTGTCATTTTGTTTAGAGAACGACGAGACCACAGAATTCCATGCTGGACCTATTTGTCTCTTTGACACAAAAATATGGACAAATAGGGTCCCAAAATACCAAAGTTATACTTTAGTTCTGAGAATTATAACCCCCTCGGGACGTAATCTGGGGTTTATCTGGGCTCGGGTTTGCCGGCTAGAATGTTATTTGGGGTGTTAAGGTTGAAAAACACGGGTACCAAGTATGTCGTCTATGTAACGACATACAATTGGTTGCATTGTGGGAAATGTGTTTTGTAGCTTTGCCCATAATAATAATTGGTAATGGGATCCGGGTGCCAAAGATATATACAGGGCAATCACTGGAGTGCCTATTAAAATAACACAGATTCTCCTATTCTATATAATCTAGTTGGTATTGTTGTATGTTGTAGCGTTTCACATGATTTCAGTCTCAGTGTGGCCTCCACATTAAAACTGCAAGATGAAAAACTAAACTTTTTGCAACTGTAGGTTTGAATAAATAATCACACATAAAAAGGGAAAAGAATTTAGAACGCTTTAAAAAAAAATGCATTTAAAAATGTTCATCCTCCTCAAATGCCTCATATTTTTCGTGTTCAGCTTCCAGTTCTGATAATCAAGAATAATCACATTCTCTTCGAGGGAGTTTCGCAAGAAGGTGAGCCAATGTGCTCGCCCAGATGCGATGACCTGCCGGGATGCACGGCCCTCGGGGGGGGGGCCAACACACGCAACTTGTGACTTTCGTTTGCGGAAGAGGACGAGAAGAAGGAGAAGCGAGGCATTCCGTTTTTTTCTGTGTGCCTGAAGACTGAGGCCAAAATACCTCTTACATAAATCATACCTCGTGCTGTGGAGGCACAGCGTGGGGGGGTTCAATGCTCATCCGGCCCACAGGGAGAGAGAGTCCTTCTCAGAGACACCACATTGTGGGCTTCGACATGTCACGATGCTGCGTCCCACACTGATGCATGGTGGCTTTGTTGAAGGTTTGCGGCGAAACCCTTTCATACTCAACGAGGGATTTACTTTCACTTAGTCCGTGTGTGCATGACTTGCCCAAGTAACCGCTGCGGATGGAATATGGGAGCGGCGCCCCTAACTCGTCCCGTAGTGGACGAGTATGACAAAGCACGGAAGAAACCTTGTGTTTTGCATAATGCGTGCTGCTCCTTTATCCGAGGGATCGATTGATGAGAAATGTGTTTGTACACACATACGCGTACGCACACGCGTTATTAAGCTGGTGCGTGCAAGAATCACTGATCCGCAGTCCGGCGAAACCACAACACTCAGAATGCAGAACTGGCCTTATTATGTGCATCTTCTTCTATTTACACATATGTACATTCGGAGCCAGCTTTCCTCTTTCACATGGTCTCCATTTCCGCTGCAACAGTGAGGCTGTAACGACGACCGGTGAAATGACTTTGTCGTGATTCTGTTTGTGCTTCCAGACCTGCCAAGATTCCATGAGAACATGAGAAAGCCATCATGAATAATAGTCTTGAAAGACACTGGCTACAGTAAAAAAACTGAGACATCACACTGAAGGAAGTCCAGAATGAGAGCATGCGGTTAGGAGAAGGGTTCTTTAGCTTAAAGATATCCGTCTGTGCTTAATTTCCACTCCAGCAATGCGCCATTCATCATAATAATTGAAGGCATTAAACTACAATTGGGTAATTGTCTTCTAATCACTCAGCATGAGTCCTAATCAACCAGGATTTTGTATTCAATGTTTTTAAGCTGCGTTTGGTGACTTCTGCACTCCGGTGGACTGAAGCGGCATTTGGAGGAAACTTCTGTGGAAATGTGATCATCAAAAATGACATCACATGCCTTCTCACATCTCAGTCTGGTCTATCAACGGCTGGCTGTAATTCTTTCTTTCTTCTTTGTTTTGAGCTGTCTTTGTAAAGTTTTTGGAAAAGCATTTTACAAAAATACTTGGCAGATGATTGGATGAATCATCCGTCAATCAAACTCTTGCAGAAGCTAGTGGGCAGGGGAACAAAAACAAATGAATGTATTCCACGGAGAAGCATTCAGTGACTCCTCGGATGAGGAAATAATCTCCCGATCTGATGTCACTGAGACAGCCGTCACACAAACCCTTTTCTCGTTGCTGTCAATAAGAGATCATGTAACAATGCTGCCCTGCGAAAACG